ACCTTCTAAGATAATCCATTTCCACAACGTCTACTTTATCTCGTTCATTCTTTGTCATCGTCCAACATTCGGTACCATATGTGGTAATTGGTTCTACAATTGCTCTGTATACGCGAAGTTTGGTATGCATCTTTATTTTATTAGACCACAGTAATGAATTCAGTATTCGGATGCATTTTTTCCCTTGGGTTATTCGGTTTTGTACATCTATCTTAACTCTGCCATCTGCTGATATGATGCTTCCTAGATATTTATACTGGTTGCAGCCTTTTATGACTGCGTTTTCAAGCCTCAGATCTGTGGTATTTCCTCCAATTTTTAAATATTCTGTTTTAAATATTCTGTTCTAAACTAAACAATACAAATAGTAAATCGGACTTACATTTACATTACACGTTATTATTAAATCGCGAATAGTCTAAATTGACATAAAAACATAAGTTTTTCTACTTTACTTCTTGTTAACCGTATTCTTTTTTATTTAAAATTAAACCAGATTTTGAACATGTGTTCACATTTACAATACTTTATGAATATAGTGGTTAAGTTAGGATATACATGGCGATGGTTTTTCCACCGTTGTAATGGACTCTCCATGCAGGTGTACGTGTAGATGAGTCATCTTCAATTAATTGATCAAAAATACACCATGGACTTAAGTCATATTTATTGGTTTCTTTTTCTTGTACTGGTTGATTTTCAATAGTACAATCTTCTTGTTCGTTAATTATAGAAGTAACCAGCTTCTTAACTTTTTGTTTTGTTCTGCACGTTAAATCGTGAATCCATAAATGTACATAATGACAATGTGCCACTCTGTTTTATCCCTCTAAATCTTTTTGCTAAACCCGATATTAGTAATTGTACTATGTCATATACTATGGATGTAAGTATGCCGTTTGCTAAAATTTTATTGCAAGATTCTTGCAGGCAGCGTACCATAACAATCACTGAACAATCACTCATTGTACTTGTTATTTCTTTAAACGGCCGTAAAATTTGGGAAAGTTGAGAACAAATAATCCAGTGTTCTTTATTTAGATTAGGTTTAAGTCTAAGTCTGTATTATTTAATACCAATGTGAAACGGGTTGCCTCTTCTAACTCGGTCATTCTTTTTAACATGTAATAGGTGAAGTTCTTCCTAGTTTCCACGTCTTGGATTGGCCGTTTGGGAACTGTGTTCTGTTGTAATTAATACTTTAACAGCCTTTCTGAAGATAAGGTACTTTTTTGAAATGTGTTTTTTTGCAGAATTGTCGAAAAAAGGACTTTTTATTTTATCTATTTGTACACGACAGCATTTAAGTGCGTCCCCCACCAATAAATTTAATCATCATCATAAATCACAATCATCATAAAACAAAACATATTTAATAGCTTTGACCATATTTTAGGAATTATCAGTTACTGCAAAATTTACTTTTCGTTTTAGACCCGACTGATTAATAATTTCAGTAATCGCTGTTTTCTGGATTATGGTTTCCAGAAAAATGGCAGCAGCCTAATAAAAAAGTTTTGAATACTAAATTTTCGGTTAAATATTGTCCTGTTAATGCGAAGTAACTCTCAGTTACTCCAGATGTCCAGAGGTCAGTAGTAATACAGATATTTTCTACTTCTTTAACAACTTGCGATCTAATAATTTGCTCACTTTTGACATAACATTCCTGAAGTAATGAACCTGACAAAGTTTTTCTTGTTGGCGGTTTATATCCAGGAATCCACCCAGCAAACTTTTTAAAAGCTGATTCTTTAACTATGGAAAATGGATGAAACGAAAAGTTTAGTTAATCTTGAAAATCAATCAGTCCAAGAAAAAGAAACTGATAAAGATGACTTAAGTCCATGGTGTATTTTTGATGAATTAATTGGACATGACTCATCTAAACATACACCTGTATCGAGAGGTATAAAAGAAGTCGACATGTAATTGTCTGATGATATATTACCCACAAACAATTTCGAACGGAGATTGGAACTGTCCATTAACTTAACCACTATATTCATAAAATGTTGTAGTATTGTAACAAAATCTTTTCCTTGTGAACACATGTTTAACATCTGGTATAATTTTAAATAAAAGAAGAACGCGATTAACAAGAAAAGTGGAAAAACTTATGTTTTTAAATGTCAATTTAGACGATTCGCGATTTAATAATGTGTAATGTAAATGTAACTATTTAAGTACCATTTGTATTATTTAATTTATTTTTCAAGTTACAATAAATATATCCTTCGTTAGGTTCTTTTATTTCAATACTTATACACATAAACGATAATAGCTAATATGTTTGTGTACTCGCTAATTTGAATACTGGTAAACAATCAACTAGTTACAGTTTACGAAAAACGGTTCCGATAAAAATTAAAAAAACGAGAAGACCCACCTCTATCTTTTTAGGTATATTAGGATCGGAACCAGAGAATATCTGATCGGAACTAATCGTCTCACTAATGGGCAATGGCCAATGAGTGTTAAAAGAATTTTAGGAGGGGAGACGAAGGGGAAATATGATTGTTATCTTTGTCTAATTCGTTGAAAATATGATTTTATATCTGCGTTAGATATCCTGTTAAATTTTACCATACCGACCTTAAAATTTTACCTACACTGTATATATATATATATATAAATTTTTGATTTTTGAAAAGAATTGTACTTTTTAAAATAATGAAATTGAAAAAATTGTTTATAACTTTAAAAAATTCCCTAGACTTGCCTAGTTGACCGATTTAATTTTTTTTAAAGTGCCTTTGAAATCTTGAGCCATTCTTTATATTTAAAAAAAAATCGACTATTAAAAGTTTTTATTTTTTGTCCAGCATAATTTAGCAAATATGCAATTTTTTTGCAGACCCTGGCATGTAAAATTATGATGCAAAAACCATTGAATCGATCCTAACGAAATTTAGCACACGAAATAAATTTGAATAAATTTAAAGGAAAAACTCAAATTATTTTGCACTTTTTTCCAAATATTACTATTTTTTAAACAGTAAACATTAAATTTTCAATTTCTAGCTAGTTAAGTATTATGTAAAATTGAAAAACGAAACTTTTACCTTCTATAAGTTGAGCAATATCTCCCGAGTTACAGGCGAAAATATGGGCGCAAAAAGCAAATATTTGATTTTTTTAAGATGTTGTTAAATAAATAAATTTACGACTGGCGCATATCGAGATTATTGGTACAAGGTATATTCAGAAGTGATATCAGCATAAAAATATATTCCTATGGAAAATGGTCGATTCAAAACAGATCCCGCCTGGACTAGTTTATGGTGGAGATTTAGAAGATTTTACATCCAAAAGTTTCGTCCAAAATTTTTTATTTGTAAAGAATATATGAGAATGTATTAAAAAATATTTAGCCTTTTTAATTAGATAAATTTATTACAATAGCAAAACCCTTAAAACTTAAAAAATACTTTGCAAAGTAGGCCTCCACCACAGCTTCTATTACCTCTCCCGTTTAAGTAAATGTACAACCTTTTAGACTTTTTTCAATTGAGGAAAGACATGATAGTCAGACGGAGCCAGATCTGGTAAATAAGGGGGTATTCGAGTAATTCCAACACTAAATCTCGACTTGCTTGCATGACAACATGCAACTGCATTTATATTCACGGCCATTCCGATTGGTCCTCATTTTTAAATACCCTAGTTCCTGTTATCTGTGTTTTTAACTTGTCCGTAACCTGACCACTAATTAGATATTAGTATTTCCTCGAATAAACTTAATACATATCGCTACCTTGGAAGAAGACCGTCAGATGTCAAAATGTGGCAATTTTCAGAAATAGCAATTTAAAAATCGATAAACTTTAAAAACACTATACAAATTTATTCATAACTGCGAACAGCCTAATATTTTGGCCTTGGTGTGTACCATCCTCTAAAAAGCTAAAGTCAAACTCATTCTTCCTTAAGACTATTTTAGACCATAAAAAACGTGGTCGGTGTTTAGAGATAATTCACTTCTTTACTAAAAAAGTTTTACGTGTTTTTTACAAATGTATATTTCACATAAAGACAAAAACAAAGATGCTTTAGTGGAAAAATTAAATAAAAATTCTGCAGTAAATTATAGTTAAAAAAATACTTTTATTTATTTGAAAATGCAACTTTCCATAATATACTCTTCATTGGTTTTGACAGAAGTCAACCCCTAAAGCGTTGAGACATTTTTATAATGTTAAATAATTCCAACTGGATTTACTTTTTTTAAAAATGTCACAAGTCGAAATAATTTGTAGGTAGTTGGGTTCAAAAATTCAAAAAGTCCTTATAATTTTCCAAGATACACTACAACTTTTAACATCACTTCAACTTCTTTACAAGACCGACACAACTCAAAATAATGCATTATTTATTCTTCACATGCTGTATTATCTTATTTTGTTTTGGTGAAAGGAAGGCATATCTCCAAATATGAGAACATTGTGAAAAATGTCGAACCAATTTTTCGATTAAAAATAACGATACTTCTACCATCTGATGGTCATAGGCATAACCTAACTTTATGACGTTACCACACAAAAAAATATAATAGAATATTTGAAATCTGTTTCTAACAAATGTCCATTTTCCACTTTTTTGAGATATGATGGTCTTCTTTCAACGTAGCGATATTAAGAATTTTTATTTCGTTTTCATCAATACCCTCCATTATCCCTCCATTATCAATACCCTCCACAAACCTAAAAATTTTAAATATAAGACATTGGAAAGACAGCATAGTTTCTAAGATCATATGTTTCATCCATATGTATGAATTGTGGAATGAAAAAAGTTAACAGATTTAATAAAAACGTTTAAATATTTTGTTTCCTCTGTTTTAGATATATCTGTTCAACCTTGTATGCTATATTTATCACAGCACCTCAGCAATTTTATGACGCACATCTATAAAACTTTTTGTGTACCTATTTGCTAGTACATACTAAAATCGTAATTTATGAGACGAAAATAACACACAACTGTTTTGTTTGTTGCAGAATTTGGAAAATCTTAAATCCGAGAACCAGAGGTTGAAGGATGAAAATGGTGCTCTTATCAGAGTGATCAGCAAACTGTCAAAGTAGCATAAGTTTTAGTTGTTATCATTCATGCATTTTATGTTAAGGTGACTTTAATAATTTATTGTTAGAAAATAATGAAAATTCAGGATTTCCCATTTTTATTCACGTTAATAGTTAGTTTCTTTAACACAGATTTATAGTTGTTAAGTTAAATCGTAGTGTTATGGACGCGAAAAGAAGAAATATAAATCTGAAGTAGAGGCTGTTGAGATAGAAATTGTATAAAAAATAGCAGGAAAAATATGGTGGAACAGAAGTAAGGAGGTCATTAGGTACAGACAGAGTAAAAAATAATAGTAGAAAATATGAGACAGAAGTAAATGAACTAATATGATGGCAGATTCCAGAGAGAACTATAAAGTAAATATTACAAGCATCCAAGAAAGATATGGATATAAAACACCTTAAGAAAAGATAATATCCCCTGAAAAGTTACGGAAAAAGAGTAGAACCGGTAAGAGCGGATCTACAATTCTTATGAGACACACGGTATTCCGTACTTTACGAGTTTTTTATGGACTTGGACGTTTTTATAAACTTCACAGAAGTAAACAATTACTTCATAAAAATGTTTCTATGGGGATTTATACTCGGTTATTTTAAATAAATTTATAAAATACATACACTTTTTTTGTTTATACCTCATAAAAGTGTTTCTTACGAGCCAGGAAAAACAAACAAACCATTTAGCATACTCGTGTGGTTTTGGACATATAACATTACCTGTATAATGTCAAAAATTTAATCTTAAGTGTAATAAATGTGCTCAAAATGAGTTAAAACTTTTATACATCATTTCTTCGAGAAATGTTTTGTTCGTTCTTTGAAACTGCAAATAGTGTCTGTTCTGTTATTAAAGGTTCAAGACATTAACCCACTTTTATAACAAGGTAGAAAAATTCCTGAGTTTACTTTAATAACATAGTTATTAGGTTCTACCTACATTATCGTTCCATTCTCAGTTCGATACCTATTTTTATAATATCGTGTTCACATTTACGTTCTGATATCGCTCCTATTTATTTATTTTTTCATGTGAGTTGTTTGGAACTGCTTCATTAACATTGGCGAATATTTTGTTTGTTCTGTTACTAAACGTTCAATAAATCTAGCTAGTTTTGTGTAAAATTTTCAAATTAGAGTGTATAGATCCTGATGTAATTCTACATTACGTCCTCTACACACTGAAACTGAAATTTTTAACTGTCACATAGTGATTTGTTCAAGAGATGTTCCAAGATTCTAACAGCATTAGTTTGGTATGCCCCTCGTAATTGCTTGTGAACAGTTATTTTGGGAGTCAACACATACCAAAAGGGAAAAAGTCCTGGTTTCTTTCAATAATGTCATTATTAGGGTCTAACTACAGTATGACCTCGTTCTCAGTTCAATATTGGTGCGATATAAAGTCGTGTTGTACATAAAATTCATACTTTACGTGATATTAAATAGTGTATTCAAAATTTTTAAAGCAAAAACTCGAGTTATACATTGATCTACATATTTAGATTTAACATTAAAAACATCATTTTTTATCCAAGTTCATTCGTATTTTAATATATACGGCAAATTAAATATGCTATTTAAACGAAACTTCTATACTGGAGTTGTATTACTTTTTCTTTATAGTAAAATGCTGAGGCAACGTCACGAAAGTAGCGCCACGAAATATTTGAGAGAGCCCATTTACGGGACAAGGAGTCCGTTATACATTTAAAGTTTTTTAATTTTATTAAAATCTATAACAAGAATATTAACTAAATGAGGTTTGATGTTCTTTAGAATATTCAAAAAATTATTAAAATAAATTTGTAAATCTATGATTGTAAAAAATCATAAGATAAAAAATAATAAAATTACTTGATTTAATTTTAAAAAAACTATTTAAAAAACATAGTATGAAGCTACGCGCCGGTCTGCAGTACCATCCACTGTACAAATTTTTAATCAATGTATAAAGCCTAGATCAAATTCACTTAAAAGTCGTTTCGTTAAGTGTATTAATTTTTAATTATATAATTATTCAATATTCACTCAGTAAATTCGTCAGTAATAAACACGTTGTGTAACCAATCAAATAAACTCACACTTTCGATACAAATTTGACCTAATTAAAGTACAATATTGTTTGAAACGTATCGAAGCGGAATTGGAGCCAGAACGTTAATGTAACAAGGCTCATTATTGCTGACGTAACAGTAACAGTATTTTACCGTTCCGAAAACGTATCGAGAGCAGTCCGATAGTGATAATATACTCTAATAGTTCGTTCGTTCTGCTGCATTATTTTTGTTAATATGTCTGCACGGTCATAAGAATACAAAGATCTATCAAATTTGTTTTAAAAAATCTGTGTTTTTGAAAAATATGTTACATAAAAATGGCAATTCCAATAAAAATGTGAAAGTAGGGGGCCTTACACTTTTTAATAAAGAAATCAGGTTTGGCCCAGAATTCGGCGTCTTTTAATTTATATTATTTTTATTTATATTATACAGGGTGTCTCAATAGTATTTGTCAACAAATGAACTCCCAAATCATTGGTAAAAAACAAAAATAATAATTTTATATTTATTTAAACTTTGTAACCAACAACACTTAGATAAAGTAAGTCTAGTTATCAGCTGCAGGGTGTAAATATTTTTGTTCTGGATAATCTAATTTTTTATCCCAATAGAAAGTACAGAGAAGAGCAACGGACATAGGTAGGTAAAGAAGAAGCCTTTGACAGCTCGTAAGACACATTTATCTCCCAAGTGTTCTAGTTTTTGTTCATGTTCAGTGATTCCGTGATGAAATTAATGACATATACTAATGGAACACCCTGTACAGTACCCGATGTACAAACCCTATGCCGTGAGACATTTTTTTTTAAGTCTCATCGATAATGTTAGAATTTTATTTTGGGAGTTAAACCTTTTTGGAAGAAGTTTTAAACACAAAATCTTCGTGTTAAAAGTTGATGTTATGCGAAAAACTGTGACGTTTTTATATAGTGAAATTTTTTGTAATTATACTAGGTAAGTGCCAAAAATTGTCGGCTTTTATATATTGAATATTTACTATTGAGTTTTAATGGTATATAATAAATACTCCTTTAATGGTAGTTGCTACTCATCACTCACTATCGTCTTGAAAATGACGGATTTGTTGTCTTTTTTTAAATAGAAATTAATAAAAACCAGTTTGACTTATGCCCGGTGTATATCGTGGAGGTTTCAATAATTGAAGAGACAAGATATTATGGTTAACCAAGTATCTAAGACTTTGCGGTTTGCTGAACGTTCTGCACAAACAATATCCATAATTTTTGTTTAATTAACAAATGTCCGCCATTTTGTTTTTTAGTTTTAATTTTCGATTAAAAGTAGTTGATTATCTTGCAAGGGCGCTTCCTTTAAGTAATCCGTTGGAATTTTTTGTTTAAGATCTACCAATCCTGAGAATTAGTGTCCGCCATCGGTCACCTTTTGTTAAGATGTTTACGCAGGCGCCCTCTAGAAACGGGCTATTCACGGAAACTAAAAACAAAAAAAAAATTATTTAACTTAAACATAAAACAATATTTAAAAAAAAAATCGTGTTCGCATCTAATAAAGGAGCTGAAAAATTTGTTTTTGAAAATACGCATTTTTAGCCTTCTAATCTGTACTAGTACCTTAAAGTTGCAATATTTTCTTGAAAAGATTTCTCTTTATCATTCGTCGGTTCTTTTAAAGTGAAATATTCACATTTGAAGAATCGTTTTAGAACTAACCTGACCTGTTCGCCATTATTTCTCTTTTAGATTATTACAATTACTAACTCGCTAGCCTTTTTTGGGCCTTGACTTTTCTACATTGGAAAACGAAAAGAAAACGCTTTAGCCAACTTATTCTTCATCTTCTTCCAATGGCACTTCGTCTAAATTGAACTTTCATGTATGTTTCCAGAGTTTGCGCGTCCGCTACCACTTTACCTGCCCATATTTTCTATGTCGTCCTTTTGGTTTTCTGTCGGTCATTTTTTGTGTTGACAATTTGTCATCATCTATTCTCACTACGTAATAAGCAATCCGTTGAAGTTTCTGGAGCCTAGCGAATTCAGAGAAAGTGGTTCATTGGGTGTATCAGGATTGATTTTCTATTTTAGCTAATCGAGAAAATTAAATATGTAATATTTTTTCTTTTAAAAACTCCTAAATTTGTACTTTCTACTATTGGTCAAATGATGGCATTCTAGATCTTAATCTTCGATTTTTGGTGTACTGTTTTGGAGCGAAATGTGCAAGTCAATGACAAATAGACTTTGTTCTCCTTCATTACACCTTTTTTACTTTTTTTCTTATTGCCTCAACATCACCCTCTACTCTAATTAATTTCTATTTTTCGAGTTAACCTACACTAAATTTAAATTGTGACATAATGGTGGAAACTTCTACAAATATTTGTTTAAACATTTTTTGAAATCATTGCCAATATATTTACTATAAAGTGCAGCATACTTCTTTTTTCTTCAATATTTCAAATATTTTCAAACGTGCTTATTTTTGGCTTCAATCGAATACGAATTGAAAAAAATCAACTCTTTCTTGCTGGTCGTGCAGAAACCGGCATGTCCGGCTACAAGACTGCAGATCTGGATAAATATTAATATATAAAGAGAAAATGAATTCCCTTACTAACAGAATATATCTATATTAAATAGTGAATAAGTAAACAATACAATTTATCATAAAGTCATTGCAAACGTTTATTTAAAGTTATCATGCTGTTCTTTTTGTCAAAAGTTTAATTAACGTGCTCATTTTTGCTTACTTGAGCCTATAAACTTTGAATGTTTTGCTAGTAAATATTACAACAAATTGAGCCTTAATGCATAAAGTGCTTCCATGTGGTATTCTATTTCAATACAATACAAATTAGAATACACTTAAACTGATCATTTATGGCACCTACCTCGTATGATCTGTTGTAAAATAAAAACATAACATCATATAAAATTATTTATCGATAAAATTGTCATGTTGCAAGTTTTATCATATTTACACAAAAATATTGTCAATTGACTCACTTACCGTGTTAAAATTAAGGTTCCGAATCTGGCCTTGATTTGCGAAGAAAAAAATATGTATAGAAATTCTACAACAAATTGCGTTTGAAATATTTCTCTGGATAGAGTGTTATTCGAACCATCACCATATTAAACTAGATATTTCAAACTGTGCCACTGAACTGAATTATCGTGCCCACTAATGTGTATCCAGCACCTAATAAATCTAAAAAAAACGTACTTCACATTGATTTAGATATTAATATGTAGTAGAATTTCTATTTGATACCTCAAGAACTGAAAACAATTCTGTCCAAACCTAGTTTTCAACCATTGAAAATTGCGTGGACTTTGTCAGTTTTTTTATACGACTCCGAGTATTATTGTTTGTATTTATTGACTTATCGACAATATTTGAATATGTAATATAAATGAAGTAGGTAGTTAGGAATTATGAAAGAAGCAAACTTTGAGTCGCTTAATGTAGATGTTTCATATTTACAATCATTGTTATACATATTATGTTATTACATATTTTTATAGATGCATTTACGTATCTTAGTCAAATTGATCGAATAAGCA